TGGAGTAGATTGTGTTTATACGACTTACACAGGCGAGAAAAAATACACCCAGGCATCTTGGGTTGATGTCACGGGCATGTCCGTGAATTTGAACTACTCAGGAAAGAAGTTAATCCTTTGTAGTATTTGCATTGGTGCGAGTAGTCACGCCAACGTCGGCTTTAGGTTCCTGGATGACAACGGCATACTGCAGCCTATGCGCGCGAAGACAAACAACAGGGAGCCTGCGCATTTCTCCGTAGAGCCACCAACGAATAGCACCGAGAATTTGTCGACTTGGACTTTTCACATGGCAGCCAATTGTCATGGAAAAGTAAAGCTGCAAMTACGCGTAGACGATACTGGAAGCGTTTGCGTAAATAGCGTAGAGGGTCAATCAGACGTGGTTTATAATCACATGACCATTAGCACCCTTACGGTGCTTAGCCTTTAGAAGCAAACTATGTTTACTGAAATATATGAACAACCCGCACGTAAGAAACGATAAGTTTTCTTATCATACGGCAGATGGGCCAAGCTATATAGCCCGAAAATGGTGGGACACGGATTTGTGGGTGGAGGTTGGGGGGTTGGGGTTGATYGTTTGTACTATTAGCATTAACACGTGGAATAGCTGTAACGTTGGAATTAGAATCGTTGATGAAAATAACCAACCATTACTACCTTATAGGAAAAAAGTAGATAGCAGGCTTTCAACCCACTATTCCTTTGAGCCGGAAACGACAACCCCGGAAGACCAATCGCCCGCAACTTTTCACATGATAGCCAATTGTCAATACGCAAAGCTACAAATTTACCCCAGCGATACGCGCCAGGGCACTAGGTCTGGGGTTCGAATGAATAGCATAGGCCTTCCCGCACTTAATGAAGTTTGGAGTCATAAGACCATTAGCACTATGACCGCCATACCACTAGTTCCGAATTATCAAGGCGGTGCGAATACTATCTTTACTTATCCCCAGTCGAGGATGCCTCGGACGCCCGACGACGATAAGCCACCAGTAATACACAAGGATAAGATTAACCCTTCATCTTCTTCAGGAGGACCACCCCAATAGCGACGACCAAGATCCAGATGTTATTCCCTACAAACTTCAACAGTTCTCCGCCGGCCCTAAGTGCCAAGGAAACAACCCAACCCAGCAGCCCAGGAAGACCGGCTGCCATCTTTTTTCCCAAGTCCGTTAGTCCATTGCCTAATTTCTTTACGCCCGCGCCYGTAGCCTTAAGCGCGTTAAGGATTACCCCTACTACGCT